ACTATCTAAACAACTAGCCGAAAATAATCGAGCAACAAATTGAGTTCAACAACCTAATAATCAACAAGACCCAATTTAATTTACAAGCTTTTTTCGATACCCCAATAATTGTGGATTCTAGATTGTTTTTACCAAACCTTCAATACTACTGTTAAAGCTTTTAAATCTATCACAAATAAATAATTTTTACAATATTTAGACAATAAACCAATACAAATCGCTCAATTTTAGATCTAAAATTTTATGTTCTTTCAAAAATTCTATTTGGGAAAGAAGATGGGGGAGGGGGGATTGGTCTGAGAAAGAAGACCAGAGGGAGGGGTTCCTGTGGGGAAGGGAGATAAAAAATGAGATTTTTTATGGGCTTTACGAGTTTTTTTTATGTGTAAACACGCAAATGCTATCTAATCAAAAACAGTATATTTTAGACACACTTTTAAAAGATTGAATATGTAAAAAAAATTTCCAGGTGCCTAACAAAAATCTGACATGCAACTATATATGCACGCCAAAAAATAAAAACAAACAATTAAGGGAAAAGGATCATGTGTCCATTGAATGATCAAAGTGTCCAGGATCTAGCTGTGGTAATTCATTTACAATTTGAATTTAAATATTTAATCAACTCAAGGTGAAATTTCATTTCTTACTAGAAGGATTCATTGAATTCTTTCGGAAAATTCAACATAGGAACTCAAGGTGAAAATTGCACATGAATAGTATTTATTAGCACATTAACACTATGTTTGGATCATTGTTACCCATCGTTTTATAATGTATTATATTGTACTGTACTGTATTGTATTGTATCATTTTATGAATACAACGTTTGAATAGATTGTATCGTTTGCTATTGTTAAATAATATTTTTGTTGTTAGTTTGACTGTATCGTACAGTACTGTAACTGATAAGTTCACTAAAATACCCGCAATTATTTTAAATAAAATTTATCAAGAATTACACATAAAAAATAGGCCAAATACCTAGACGACCACTTAAACTTGACTCTAATTTCCATTTTTGCACTTTAACTCATACTAGTTCCAATTGAACACTCCAACTTTAATATTGTATACATAATAAATACCTCATAATAAATGCCTAAATAAATTCAGCCGCGTGAACTGCACGCACAATAGCGTGGCAAAATGGACGAACCAAAAAATGCCATATGACTTTTGAAGATAAAAAAAGGTGCTATGAGAAAACCCCAAAAAAGAAGAAAACAAAACAAAAGAAAAACAAGATACCAAAATAATTTCTTCTGTAACTTCATTGCAGCAGCTATCATGTCCCCAATCTTTCAATCTCTACCACCCTCACAATTTAAGGTTCCCCAGAACATCCCTTTTCAGACCCTGTTTCCTTCCATGGCTCCCAGCCCCCACGATTTTCAAACTTTTTTCTATCGGCCTTCGCTGCACCACCTCCCCCTACCACAACCACGACTTTCTCTTGCCAGACTCACCTTTATCTTTCTCCCCCACCTCACACGACTGTTAGATCCTTCTATCAGTATAATCGACAACCATTTTTTAATCTAACCAAAAAGAATAAATAGAAAAATGAAGAATGAATTGAAAATTGATAAGTAAATAAGCTCTAAACCCAGATCTCGAGGAGAAGGCCATAAGAATTTTGAAAAAAGAAGATGAGAATAGTGAAATGCAAAAAGAAAGAGGATGATTTTGGCCATGATAGTTAAACTTTAGAACATAACAGAATTCTCATTACTGGCGAACACTAGTTTGGGCGCCGATGTTATTCTATTCAGGTAATGGCAGGAGCAATTTTTTTTCTATTTTATTTGATGTTCTTTGTGTTAGATTAGAAAATTGTTGCTATTATTATAATTGATTAATGAATTATTTAAGGTGTACCAGTGGAGCAATGATTGTAAGAAGAGAGACTCATTCACGTGCGATGAAGAATACTGGTTTTGCCACATCAGTGTTTGTATGTAATGGGTATATTTTTATTGAAATTTGGAGTGTTCAATTGGTACTAGTGTGAGTTGAAGTGACAAAATAAAAATTGGAGTCAAGTTTATGTGGCTGTCTAGGTATTTGGCCTAAAAAATATTTAAGAAAACCTCTTTCTACTAATTTATCATTAATTACGTAGCTTGGAAACAAGAGCAAAAATCTGGGAAAAAAAAAAGGTTAACTAATATTAGCAACACCAAAAAAAATTAAAACGGTGAAAAGAGACAAAGAATCGAAAGGAGACTTGGATAATAAAAAGAACGGGGCAAACCAACTCTAGAAAGGATGAAAGAAGACAAAGTAAGTCAATAGGTGGAGATTTGGAGTTAAAATAAAATAAAAATTAAATGATAAAATAGAATTATAGAGTAATAAGTAAGGGCATAATTAGAAAAGAAAATAGGAAACGATCCCACCATACCAAATCGGTTGTTTCATAAAATGGGGCTTTTGATTGTTCCGAAATAATAAATTTAACAATACGATACAATCAATTTTAAATAAACAATCAAAACAAACATTATTTTGGAATAACAATACAATACAATGGGTAACAACCATCCAAACAAGCTGTAATAGTCTCGCTTGAGTTCTTAATTGGGGTAAAGCTAGCGTAATCACAAAGTATTGACCGTAGCATTAAGTGGTGTTTAATTACACGAATCTCAATAAATTTAATATCATGAACATGATAATTTCGAAAATGCCTACAACCTCTAAACAAAAAGTAAAATTGAGTGACTTGGCTATTAACAACCATGGTGATTTAAATAATTACTACTATGATATTTAATTACATAAAATAATATCTAGCTATTAAAGATGTGAAAGTACTTAAACTACCGTATTCTGCAACCAACCATGCGGAGATATTACATGAGATAATATTTTGCTATTAAAGAAATGATTTTTTTGAGATAAGCTTTACTTTTACGTGCTTGCTCGCTTAGTTTAACAGTACCATTGTCAAAATAAAGACTTAGTGATATTTTAGAGTAATTCTTTCTTTCCCCTATGGGTAATAAAGTGTAACCTAGTTGTTAATCTTAAAGCAGAATACATTTTCTTCATTCTTAATAATTTCATATTCTCCTTCCTCGAATCAAGTTATAATCAATTGATCGATTATTTTAACCCGTTTGGTCAAGCTTCTCCCATTCTAATTATTTTTTTAAAATTGAGGTGTTTGACCAAGTTTTTGGAAGGAAAAAAGTGCTTTTGAGGAGAAGCATAAACAGTTTTGGAGAAGTAGAAAAAAATAACTTTTCTCCAAAAGTACTTTTTTGAAAAGCGCTTTTGAAAAAAATACACTTAAAAGCAGTTTTTAAAAGTTTGGCCAAACACCAATTGTTGTTCAAAAATGATTTTCAAATTAATTAGTCAAGCACAAATTACTTATCACCAAAAATACTTTTGAGAAAAAACACTTTTCAAAATAAGCTGATTTTTGCAGCTTGGCCAAACAGGTTGACGTTCTAACTTCCAAAAAGCAAAAGAATTATGAACATGCAATTGAACAACGCAGGCAAAATTTGTCCATTCGACAAAGCTTGTGGGCAATTTAACTTGATAGGTACGAACGACGATAGTGCCAAGTTTTATCAGTCTAGCAAATCTGTGAACAATTGAACCATACATGCAATATTTGCCTATACGGCAAAATTTATGAATAATTTAATAAGAAAGAATGAAGATAATATTAAGTTTTATCCGTCCAAAAAAATTTATGAACAATTGAACAACTCATACAAGATTTGTTAGTCACAGGGGGACTCTAAAAGCTAGGCCAGTGAGGCCATTGCCTTAAGCCCCCAAAATTTGAAGGCCCCAAATTTATTTTAAACTCTGAAATTGCATGAGCACAAAAGTTCATGCATTGATTTTCTTTTTGAGTAATTCACATATTATATTAGGTTATTTAGAATTTATTTTAGATATTCACCGATTAGTACTAGTACTAATTAATATAATGAACTATAATTATCGTTTAAATTGATTAGAAGGAATAAATATTTTTGACATTGTCAATACTCAAAAGTTAAGCTATTACGTTATGTACGTTTATTTCTTTTTCTTGATTGTGATGAGAGCCAAATCAAAAGTTTCATTTTGAGTTCTGGACCTCAACATCCGATAATCCATCACTTGTTGTTTAGAAAGCAAATTTTGTTGTTAGTGTAAAAATTTAATAAAATAAATTTAAGGGCCTATCAATATGGTTTCGCCTTAGACCACAAGATCCGTTGAGCCGTCCCTTGTTAGTCAGACAACATTCCTAAACAATTCAGTAGTACCAAATTTTGCCAGGAAAAAAAAATCAGAAATAGCTATATTTACAACTGATTATTGAAAAATAGCCACAATTTTAAAACTAATCGAAATTTGACCTCTTTTTAATGTAAAGATAAAATTTGAATAAAAATACCCTTAAAATCTGGAAAAATGATATTCGATTTTTTTACATATGAGATTCTAGCATAATGTGTTGGAGTTCTAACATAATATGATGGAAGTTAATACACAAGAGCTCTATAATCCAGCATATTATGCTGGAACTTTCCGTGTTCTGGAGTTTCAACATAATATGCTAGAAGTTTATATGCAGAGCTCCATAATCCTGCATATTATGTTGGAACTTTTCATGTTTCAACAAATAATAGCTATTTTAATGACTTTGTAAACAATGAGTATTTTTCAATTATCAGTCTGAAAACTGACTAGCCTATTTTTTCACAATTTCGCCGGAGAGTTTTGGTTGTCCGACGAAACTTGCGATGTGTAGCCAACTTTTCCATTCGTCCGGTTGTGTATCGGGGCTATTTTCGCGAAACTTAAATTGGGACAACAGGTAAACAATGACATCAAATTATTCTATTTGTGCAAATCAAACCACATAGCTTTGCCTAAGCCCAATACTCATGTGTGCTTTAGATGGCCCAGGCCTTTATCTAGATCCGCAGGTCCCACCGCGTCCCAAACAAATCTGTAACGGCTAGCGCTTCCCACTTCCCATTTCGAAATCTCAAACAAATAAAAAACAATACTAATTCAGACCCCCAAAACCCTCATTTCAGACCAAAACCGCTCTTCCGTTCTCACTTCTCAAAACTCTCACATCTAATTTCGATGACATAAAAATCGTTGATAGATTGATTTTCTTTCCACAATTGTTCCAATCACCGGAAAATTTGAATCAGAATTTTGTGTTCATTTTAGGGTTTATTGAAGTCTGAAAGATGGATCTTTCACAAGAAACGGAAGATTACATTCGTGAATCGATCGAGTACTCTCTTGGCCTCCCTGTTTCCACACAAACACTCCAATTAAAGCTTCGCGCCTCTGAAGAATCCCTTACTCACCTTCGCAATCAGTATCTTTCTCTACAAGCCAAATTGAAAGAGAAAGATGCAACAATCGAACGCACTAGGGTTTGTACTTTTTACCCTCCTCTTTGATTTACTTTGAGAAAAATCAAATGTTTGTTTTAAGTATTGATTCTTTATTGTTAATGTTGTTACTTGTTAGGCTGAGTCAAGTATGAATGCTTCAGCGTTGAAGAAGTTTGTGGAGGAAAATCAGAGATTGGCGGTGGAGTGTTCGAACTTGTTGGCACAATGCAAGAGGTGGGAGAAAGAGTGCTCTTTGTATGATCATGATCGCGAGGCATTAATGGATTTTGGAAATGAGGCGGATGAGAGAGCCAAGGAAGCTGAGATTCGAGTTCATGATCTGGAGGAGGAGGTTCAGAAGTTATCTGAGGAATTGCATTTTTACAAGTCACAATATGAGGCCCAACTGGTATGTATATGTAATTCTTTTTTTTTTCTTTTGGTTCTCTTCCATGTTTAACTTCTGTTGAATTTGATGTTATGTGGTGTTCATTGATGAATTGTTCGTAGTTCGCATATCAGGCCAATATGGAGGGGTAAGGGGGGGTTTAAATTTGATTTTATGCTGAATGTACTAACACAGGTGACAGGTCTCTGAATGATGTTTAGGTTTAGATTCAAAGTACTTTGAACTTGATCAACGTCAAAACAAATGATTTAGGAACCCTATAGTGTCGAGTTTGAGAAGCTTGTCTCTACTCATTTTCAGAAGAAGTAACTTAATAATTTGTTATATTTTCTGTTGATAATGTAACAACAGTCTCATTAGGATAAAGTGAAAGCTTTTGGGATTTTGTGAATGTTACATTAATATCTACCGATAATTATGTTACTCTTTATCTTTTACATCAAAATTGCTGTATGATATTTATAATTTGATTGTCTGATAATGCTCTATACATCTCTTATGTTCGTGCTCTATGGATTGTATATTATTAGATATGCATTAGAGGGTAGCCCTTCTTTCCTATTAAACTTGACTTACTCACATGCATAGTTTTGACAGAAGAATGTTAAAAGAAATTAGTTGGATTCACAGAAAATCCTCTTAACCTGCCTCTTCTCCGGAAGTATGTAGCATTTGTTCATCACTTCCATCACCAATAGGATATAGAACGGGGAAAGATGAAATTATTAGACAAGTGAAAATATTTTGGTAGCATGTAGTAGTTGAATGTATTTATGTCTGGATACTTCACAACCTAATAATTGCTTTTTGGCCGTCAAAGAGTAATATCCATGACTTTTAGATTTCAACTACTGGCACCTGTATTGATGACTTATATTCTCTCAGGGCAGTGCTAGAAACATCTGAGGCAATGCTTCATGAAAGAATTGTGTGGTGATATTAAAGTTTTCTCATTAGAATATCACTTCCATATATAGGGTTCTAATACCCTCAAGCTTGATATTTCAGGGAGGAATTCATGAGAGATTTTCCTCATAATCCAAATTAGGTTTCCTTAATCTCTTTGGGGAATGCTACAATTAATTGAAACGGTAACAAATATGCATTGAGGATATTTTTCCCACTATATACACGTCGTAAGACTGCTGTTGTCAATGCTCTGGTCATGATTTGATATTGCAAAGTTGTATTCTGGGGTTGGGTTAGTGGTTACATGGAAACAATTGAAGTTTCACTGCAACATAAATTATTCGCATTATTTCATTATGGTTTTGGGAGCCGAGGGTCTATCGGAAACAACCTCTCTACCCCAGGGTAGGGGTAAGGTCTGCGTACACACTACCCTCCCAGACCCCACTAGTGGGATTATACTGGGTTGTTGTTGTTGTTGTATTTCATTATGGTTTTTGAGATCTAATCTGGTTTAAAAGAGGTTTTCGACCCAAAAAGCTCCATAGAGCTGTTGTATCCGGATATAATGAGGCCCACGACTTTGTTGATTGCCCAATTCTTCAACCATGAGCTATGATGTAGTTAAAATAACTTTGATGGTAGCGTAGTTAAACGTGAGATCTCTTAAGCCTTGTGTTGGTACCACTGTCTCCCTTTGGGTTTTAGGCATAAGGTCTCCACTTATGGGTTTTCAGAATTAGGTCTATATATTTTGTTGATTGCCTTATTTATCAACTATATGTGTTATGATGTGATTAAAGTATCTTTGATGGTAGCGTACATTTAGGTTTGAGGTCATTCAAGACGTTTGTACCAATGTCTCCATTTTAGGAGTTTAGGCATAAGGTCTCCATCTTCAGGGTTTTAGGCATTAGGTCTATGGTACTTTGTTCATCGTCTTATTCTTCAACTAAGAGTTATGATGTCGTAAAATTATCTCTGGTAGTAGCATACATTAGGTTCGAGGTCTCTAGAGTCTATGAGGTTTATGATACAGGGAAGCAAATGAATTTTGCTGTTGCTTAAACTATTCATGTTATTTCATTAGGATTTTTAAAATTGGTTCTGCTGTGGGAAAGTTTTCGACACAAGCTCCATAGAGCTGTTGTATGTGGGTAATATGAGGTTCATGACTTTGTTCATTGTTTCATTCTTTAACCATGAGTTATGATGTGGTTGAAGTTCTCCGATGATAGCATACATTAGGGCGAGGTCTCTCAAGCCTTCTGTTGTACCAATGTCTCAATTTTGGATTTAAGCATAAGATCTATGTTACACGAATTCTCCCATTATCGTTTTTGACTGGTGTTGACACAACACATCGGTGTGTGAGTGGGATTCATTCTAGAAATGAAGGGTGACGAAAGAAAGAAGAGAGGGAAGGAGAAGAAAAGAAAGATTGATTTTGTGTGTGTGTGTGTGGGNTTGTTGTCACTCTCCAGGTTCTAATATGGAGTAATTTCTTTTTTCCAGTTCTTGCAATGGAATTAGACTTCGTTTCTATTTCTATTGTATGATGAACTAGGTTTTGTCTGTTAGTAGGCCTCCTTTCCATTATATTTTCCTACTGCTCATTAGAGGTTTTTTCTTCTTTTTGTTTTTTGTTATTATATGATGTGCTATTATGGAACAAATTAAATTAAATAATAGTAGAGCTTAAATAAAATCTATTTATATTTATTTTGACTCAATGACCTTTCAATATATTCCGAATCCTAGATTTATGGGTTTATGAATCCAACACCTAGATCCAGTGTCGGATACTCAGACGGGAATCCATGTAACTTAACATAAGGTAATGAAACTCCTGTCTGGACTTCTGTTGCTGTTATGACAATGGGAGGGCTTATTCCTTTCTCTTTCCCGGAATTCAGGTGCATTTTCTCATGTGTGATCGCTATTCAGATAATTAGACCCTTCTTCTGAGGATATGTGATTGGCCTGCTGATTATACTTCTAAACATAATTAATTGGCTGCTTCAAGAATAACATGGTCAATGTTGTCAATTAGTTGTTATACATCCTATTATTTTGGTGACTCTCTAACACATCTCTAGATTGCACGACGTAGAATCTTTCTACTGGAGGCTAATTTTTCGGTTACTACTCATACGTGAAGGATGATACAGCCACGGACGATGTTTCCGTGGAAGAAAATCTGCTCGACACTTTGCTGGAAACTCTGATTGGTAAAGATGATGCTGCATCAACAGCACATGCATTTCTGGAGGCAAATGGTGGTATGGAAGTTTGCCAAAGATTGTTGACAAAGTGGAAGCGGTGAGTTTAACTTCTGTTTACCCTAGTGTCTACAGTTTCGCAATTTGTCTGATTGCCAGCTGAAGTGCCTTCTGATTTTGATAGATTGAGGCCATCGACACAAAAGGCTGTTGCTCTGGCTGCTGAGGTCAAGACTCTGCAAAAAGAAAAGGAACATTTGAGGATAAATCTCCATAAAGCTGAAGATGAGGTAAGTAGATTTATAGAGGGAGAAAAAGCGTTTGATCTCTTGTCGATTATGTAAATTGAGAAAACATGATAATTTTCTGAAATGTAGGTGCAAGTGTTGTTTGAAGAAAACAGTGTTTTGGATAAGGAGAATAAGAGGCTGATAAGGCTATACCAGAAAGAGAAGAACACACCTAGTTCTGTTGGAAAACCTTCTTCTGGCAAGGTGAACTTCTAAGAGTTTCTTTTAGCCTGATCTTTTGTTTCCTCTCAATGCCTTATTAGACGCAGCCGTTCATATAACGTAATATTTCTGTAAATCTTTAATTGTTCACCAGGGTAACAAAAGGAAATCAAGCCCCAAGATAAGCAGTCCAGTCGAGGGAAAACTTGATTTCAGCGAGGTTGATTCATTGAGGCAGCCTTTATCACCTTTACGAGAAAACTCACCTGAATATAGATCATGCAAGAAGTAGCAGGAGAAGTAACATACTGCAATTTCTTCTTCTCATTTTAGGTTTTTCGTGTATCTAAAAGAAGGGTGTTACGATTCTCGGTAACTGTAAAAAGTAACATACTATGTCATCTTCCCCAAATCGCCTTCAAGAATTTGTTCTTCCTTGTGTTAAGGATGATCGAGAAGCTTTTAACCGGATATGAAGTCTGTTTGCTCTATTGATTGACATGTTTTATCTTTTTAGGAGAATGTTAGGAAAATTCTGTTATCGATTTAATTTTGGTGCCTTTCGTTTTTCTTTTTTTAGATATCTTATGTTACTGTTTTATGCTTTATATAGATGATTGACGGGGTTCTTGTGTCAAAAGTCAATGGAACATACTATTGTAACAACAACAATAACCCAGTATAATTTCACTAGTGGGGTCTGGAGAGGGTAGTGTGTACGCAGACCTTACCCCTACCAAGGGGTAGAGAGGCTGTTTCCAAATGACCCTCGGCATCCTTCCCTCCAAGAACTCCCCACCATGCTCTTGGGGTGACTCGAACTCACAACCTCTTGGTTGGAAGGGAGGTTGCTTACCATCAGAGCAACCTCTCTCTCTCCTTGGTAACCCCTCTTGTCCTATGGAACAGACTATTGTACGTTGTCGAAATTGTCAAATGTATAGGCTCTAGCCTCTATGCATATGGCAAAGTTACTTTTCCAAGTTTTGAACTTTTCAACAACAATTTAGTTCCATTTTTGTGTTCCAAATCTATGTTGCAGTCGAATTTGAAAGTGGTTAGTCGTATGTTCTTAGAAGAGTAGATCTTTTATTTCTTTTGGATGACAACTGTGAGTTTTTAGATTTTGCTTTGGAAGAATGAGCTTGTGGGGTTGTTTGTAGAAAATTGGTTATGAGCTTGTCTATTTGAAGAAAATATCATATATATGATGAGAGCACATTATCTCATAACTTTACAAACATCATAATGTTATATTAAGTATTAGCCTGCTTCAATCTATTCAGAATGGGATTGCACCAAATCCAGTGAACTATTTAATCAAGAATTGGAGTTGGATAAGCACATTATAATTGCACAATATTGTGATTATATCTGCTCTTTAAAATTACTCGAGAAGGGAAGTTAAACTAGCGCAAACTACCCTGGCGCCTAAGGTCTAATCACATAGATCGGAATAGGGGCAACTGGGCAAGTGAACATGTAGTCATTCTCATGAATGCTATTTAGAGATTAATCAGTATTTATTTTGTTTTGAAATTTTAAATTAAATATCTTAACTTCAGGACAATTCAGAATATTTTTATCCTGAAAAATTAAATTGAAAAATCGAAATTCAGAACGTATTGACTAATTCCTAAATATTAACCCTTTAAAGTAGCTACCTTGTATCATTTCTACCTCGGAATAGGATGGAGAGCAGGGTTACAAGGATTTGAATAACATCAAACAACGAAATTGGAAATCGAAATAATGATGCCAAAGTTGTAAAAGCCTAGTTGTGGAAATTCAAAATTTGAGTTTACGCTTTTTCATATGAAATGTGGTTATTTTTTACTAAAAATAATATAGGTTCACCCATAATAAAAAGGAATTGCCGTTTGAAAATTTTATTTTATGACCCTTATCCAGTCGCCTCCTTAGTTCCAAATTCCAGTTCAAAGCTTTATCCCGTAAACTATCCCAACTGCAGCTTTAGAAAAGAAGCAGCTGCAATGGCGTTACTTCGCCTGTTGTCTTCTCCATCTCAGCTTCACTTTTCCACCACCCAATTCCCTTCTTCTTCTTCTTCTCCCGCTTTGTTTCCCCTTCACCACCAATCTGTAATTCCGATTTTATCCTCTTCTACCGTTTCTTTGCATATTTCTTCTTTATCCCCATTACTCCCTATTAAACCCCCCAAATCCTACCTTTACATCTCCCATTGCTCTTCGTCGACCCAAGCTCCAGAATCTCAACAAGACCAAGAAGAACAATCGGAAGATGAAGGTTCTAGAACAAGAATTCTTGCTCAGAATACTCCTTGGACTTCCACAGCAGATGACCTTCGCCCGCTGTTTGAGAAATATGGCACTGTTATGGATATTGAGGTTTGCACCTTTAAAATTTTCTGCTTTTGGTATGGAGAAAAATGTTTTAACTTATGATATCATTTTCTAGTGTTTGATTGAATATGAAGTAGGGTAACATATGATAAAAATACAAGCTGCAGGATAAGGTATGAAGATAGAGTTTCACTTATGTTTCTTCTAGTACTATTATCTATTGAAAACAATGTCAGCCCTAGAGCTTTGGTCAAGTGGTAAAAGTGCCGCACTTGACGCGTGTGGGTTAGGTGTGTGTTATGAGTTTGGACCCTGCGGCCGACAAAAGTCTGGTATTTAAGTGGAGAGTGGTAGAGAGGCGCGTCCATTATCCATCGAGTTGTGAACCGTGTGCTACTGGCCCTCGGGGATTTTTGGGTTATAAAAAAGAATATGGAACACTAGCGAAGGTATCAACCAGTAGCGGAGCCATGGTTTTTATTAAGGGGTGTGAAAATTTTAAAAAGTAAATATACGAATAAGTCAAAGAGATTCAACATATACTATATAAACATAAAAAAATAACTTTTACCTATCTAAATAATATAATTTTTCGACAAATGGGTGTCAATTGGCACCTTTTGGAGCTGTGTGGCTCCGCCACTGGTGTCAACCAAAAAAAAAAAGTATGCCATTTGCTGATGATATTGTGCTAATTGACGAAACTGGCAGGGTTGTCATCCGAAAGCTTGAGCTATGGAGAAACATGTTAGAGAGTAACGGTTTCAAGATAAGTAGAAGTAAGACTGAGAATATACACTGCAAGTTTAGTCAGCACGAGAAAAGTGAATTGATGTGTGACTAGATGGAATTGCGGTGCCAAAATGCAAAAAATTTTGATATCTAGGCTCGTTGTTTCAAGAGAATATAATGCTAGATGAAAATGTTACTCATATGATTAAACCAGATGGTCGAAATGGAGAAGTATTACCAAGGTGTTATGTGATAGAAGGATTCCTGCCAGGGCGAAAGGTAAATTATAAAACAACTATAAGATCGACTATGTTATATGGTAGTGAATGTTGGGCTGCTAAAGCTCAACATATCCACAAGATGAGTGTTGCAGAAATGCAAATGCTAAGATGGATGTGCGGTCACACAAAATTAGATAAGATAAAAAATGATCACATTCATCAGAAGGTACAAGTAATACACATTGAGGATACAATAAGAGAAAGTCGTTTGAGATGGTTTGGTCATGTCCTGCGTCGACCTACAGATGCACCGCTTTGTAGGTGTGAAGCTATGGTAGGGGAAAGCGTTAAAAGGGGACGGGGTAGACCTAGAATCTCATGAAAGGAAGTTGTCTCGAAAGACCTAATTAATGTAGACTTAACTAAAGATAAGGCACATGGAAGAGGAAAAAACCATATAGGTGATACCTACTAGTTAGGAATGTATTTTAGACTTGGTAGAGAACTTCTATATTAATAGTATTATAATTGTTATTGCTACTACTATTATATATATATATATATATATATATATGTATATATATTTCTATATCTTTTTAACTTGCACTTTTATTTTATTTTGGTAATGATGATGATATAAGTTGAGCGAAATGAAAGGAATGAGGATTCATATCGCCGACCTCAAGTTGTTTGGGACCGAGCGTTGTTGTTGTAAAAAGAAGTATTGAAAACACTGTGAAAATGGAGGTTGAAGCTATGTTGCGCGGACTCTCCAAAATATAGTCGTACCAGTGTCGGATCCTTCAAAAATACACTACTTTTGGAGGATTCGACACGTATCCGGCCATATTTTCGGAGAGTCCGAGCAACATAAGTTAGTGTTATGGATTAAGAATTGTAGTATTTGCAAAGGAAACTGACTTACATCCATAAGTTAAAGAAGTCAACTTCATTTCTTTTGATGGAGAAATTTTTAGAAGGATATTTGCTCGTACCAAAATGCTAGAAAATGATTTCAATCATGGAAACTATTCTCCACTGTACCAAATACCCGCCTGAGCTTATTCAGTTTTTTTAAGGTTTGATTATGTATTTTCTGAGATGGGTTTGTTGTCTGTTTTTTCACCTCAAGGTTGCAATGTACAACAAGACTAGAAGCAGGGGTTTAGTCTTTGTCACAATGGGTTCTCATGAGGAAGCTAAGGCAGTTCTTGAAAATCTTGAAGCCTATGTAAGTATCTCTATCATTAACTCTTCCAGAAAAACTCTATCGGTATTTGATTTTTTGTGCTGAGTTGCATTATTGGATGTTAAAACTTGACCAGGAACTTGAGGGTAGACCATTGAGACTTGCCTGGGCTAAGCCAAAGACTGTGAAACCTTCTTCTCCGCCGCCGTCCAAGCCGCTGCCTGTACACAATGTGTTTGTGGCTAATTTGCATTTTGAAGCAAGGTCTAAGGATCTTATGGAGTTCTTTAAGGCTAATGGGGCAGATGTTGTTTCTGCTGAAGTCATATTCAACAATGATAATCCAAGACGATCTGCAGGATATGGATTTGTTTCTTTTAACACCAAGGTGGAGGCTGATGCCGCATTATCCTCTTTTGAGGGAAAGGTAATTTTGGGGTTGACTGCTTGTTCCAGTGCTTTATTTACTCCTTTTTCATGGACTAGAATTGTTGGATCTGGTTAATGTCAATAACCTGATTTAAGTATATCCTTATCCATAGGAATTTATGGGAAGACCAATAAGGGTGGCACACAGTAAAAGATTTCTGAGAGAAGAGACAAAAAAGAATCTCCAGGCCCAAGAATTATCATCTGAATTGATCTCTGTGGGAGAATGAGCTAAAGCTGCTGGAATTTGAAAGTTATTCCTATGAGGAAGTGAGTCTCCATGACCCTTTGTTTGTATAGTAAAATCCAGGCTGATATCTTGAAAAATTTTGTGTCAGAAATTTTAATATAGCTTCAGATACGTTCCCTGTTTCTTTTGTTGCCTATGTTATCCAAATTATATTCTGTTTCCTATCTCTTCTTTTTGTTTAGCGGCGAGGACAAAATATTTAATCAGGTATAAGTTTCAAAATAAATGGTCACATGGAAATCTTTTGATAGGGAAAATACCAATTGGAGGAAAATGAGTTAATGAGGAAAATATTTTTCAAAATATTTAAGCCAACCAAACATGGGAAAATTGGAAACCTTCATACCAAACACACCCTATGGTAATTGGATGCAATCCGAAGGTGACATCCTTAAAATTCTCATT